GGTCGAAAATATGGTTAGAGAATTGTTTAAAAACCAAAAGCCAAATTAAAACCATTCGTAGTAAATCCGATTTTAAATTTGGTTACTATTCCTTAAACCAAAAAATCCGAAAACGGTTTTATATGTACCTGCGGTAGGAGATGGGGACAATGCCGGCGCGATATTCAGCGATCTTGAGGAAAACGGGCATGGCGAGGTCGAAGTGAGCACGTGGCGGGTTGCACCAGCCGCCATTGTCGCTAGGCTGAGCTAAGTTTGGTGGACAAAAGTTAGTTGCGGTTACGAAGACAGAAGGAGCACCTGAGTGACACCATTTAGGATCATTGACACATTTGATTTCAAAGCAAGCACCACAGGTTAAGCCACTGTTGAACAACGCCGTGCTTAACGCTGCGGTGTTAGTTCCGTATCCTTGGCTGTATAAATTCCCGTATCCACACGCGCCACCTAAAACAGAACAAAATGTTAAGAAGATATAACTAAAAGAAAAACAGAGTGCTCTGTTTCTATATGGTTTTTTTTTAAAAAAATTTAGTGTCTAAAAGAGAATGGACTGACCCATGGTTCCGGAAGCGTCATCGCCACCATAGAAAGTGGCGTGAGCGGTTTGCCAAGAGCTACCGGAGTAGACACCGGGGATTCCGGCCTCGGTGAGGCTCAAGAGGAGAAAGAGAGGGAATATGGTTAAGAGAATCGATGAATTAATTGCCATTTTGGTAGATATTTGTGAGTGGATTCAAATGGAGGATCTTTGAATAAGAAGATTGTAGACTAAAAGGCTTAGAGACTTGAGGACGGTGGAAATATCAGTTGTGAAGATCGCTATTTATACTGGAGGAGAGAAACTCCAAAGTTAGTGAGAGAGAGATATTATTGGCCGGATTTAGTATCTTCTTGGACAAAAATCTAGAAAGTACAGTGAAAGATAGGTTTAAAACCGTCTACAAAAAGCACGGTTGCATCTCTAAAACGTTAATAATTATATCATTTACCACCAAATTAATCTATTTGTGTAAAAATAAAACTAACAAATATAACTCGATCCATACATGTACATGATACATTACTATGTAGTCGTACGGCGTAGATACCTAAACTTTCAATGTATTAATTTGAAAAGTACCGGAAATATGAATATTTATTCAATCATCGCTGAGTTTATATATATGCACATTCATGGATATTTTCGTACAAACTTCGAAATTTATTATATGAACATTAATAAGGAAAAGCCAAC